GGCTTTAGGTTAGATTAAAAGAGTTTAAATATATATAAAATTTGATTTTAAAATCTTTTGCTTAGAAGTCAAAGCTTAGTTTTTATAATAAAATCTTGAATTATTTGAGGTTTTTGTCCTTTTTTTTTTTTACTTTGTTTTGGTTACACAAGATCCAGTGATCTAATTGGTTTTTTATATAACTAGGTGATATCACCTACGATGAAAATTAGCAATAGTCTTTTTTTTAAAATCTCACAAATAATCTTTATTATCTTTAAAGATAAAAATATAGTCAGAAACACCAAACCTATAGCTATTGAATAAATAATAATACTTCCATTAATTCAGACTTGTATGAGAGCTATACAAGTTAACTATTTTTTAAATTACAACTTTTTAATAAAAAGAAATTTATTATAGTTATGTTGTATTAACTATCTGACAGGCTCTTTGTTTTTTATCTGAAAACATTAACTACACTTTTGCTCTTATTTAAGAATCTTAGAGTATATCTTCAGTTATATCAGCTGATTTGAATTTGACCCCAAAATCAACCAATCATGATTGAGGATTATCAAAAAAATTTCATACTTAAAATTTAGTACAGTATGAATTTTTATAAGAATAGCCTTTTTAACTAATCTTGTATTTATAATTAAATATATAAAAAATTATAGTGTTTATATATTTAATTATAACTATTATAATCAAATAACTCTTTTTGACAAACACTTGGACCAAATTTTCTGATGAAAAGAAAAGCCTATATTCTATACTAAAGAGTTGTAATAACCTGTAGTAAGGTAAATTAACAGGGCAATTTTTATAAAGGTCAACCTTTGTTAGAGAGACTTCTTTATACAGTATATTCGACATGCAAGCCAAAAGTGTCAAGATACAAGATAACTGGCAGAAGATAGTGCTCTTGTATACGAAATTTTGGTGAATAGGTAGAGGTAATAGAAGTTAAAGCCTTTTGTCGATAAAGCTATCAGTTGCAAAACAACTAGGGAATAGTAAAGAACAGGCTCTTTTTAAGCTGCACTCCTTTATTTAGACCAAGTGGTTCCTACTATCTTTTTTTTATTTCCCTGCTGTTCTTCTAAATTTTTTGACAAAAAGTAGAGATTTGGCTTACCCCCTATTGTTTACAGATCCATATTATTTCGTAGAAGTTTATTTCACAGATACCTTGTTTCACAGAAAAATACTTTATAGACAAGTTTATTTTAAAGACAATTAATTTACAGACAGTTCATTTCATAAACATTTTATTTTGTAGACAATTTTAGCAGCAAATAACTTCTAAATCAGTATTAAAAATTGGCTACAAAATAAAATGTCTATGAAATAAACTGTCTATGAAATAAACTGTTTGTAAATTAATTGTCTTTAAAATAAATTTGTGTCTATGAAGTGATTTTTTGTAAAACAAAATATCTGTGAAATAAACTTCTATGAAGTGATACAGACCTGTTGTTTACTTTTCAAATTCAAATAGTTGAAAAGAATGCAACTACATGTTTGTTTACAAACAGATATGGTGCTACTTTACAGAACTTAGCCTGGAAACTCTAATTATAGCAGCAAAAAACAGGTGGCTTGAAATATGGGTTCTTGGATGATGGTAGCACCTGGCTCGAGATATGAATTAGATGGGCAATAGAGTTATCTGAAGTTGGTAAAAAGGTTGGAGAGTAAATTTAACATTAAAGCAAAGCTTTACAGAAGGAATATACAAATATTGCATTTGTTATATAATTTTTACCAACCTTGCACAGGTTATAATAGTGCTTTTAGGGTCTTAGTTTTCTTTTCATGTTTTTTCTTTTTTATAATCTGTGTTTAGTTTTTCTTGTTTTGTTTGTTTTTCTTTTTTGGTCATTTTCGTATTTGTCTTCTTGGTTTAAACTTTTCTCCTTTTTGTCTTGTGTCCCTTGAGAAGAAGGAAGAATTAGAAGGGAAAAGAGGTCCTAAGGTGGGAGCTGAGCCCCGGCTAGATTATATCTTTAAATATGGCGCACAGTATGTAGGGTATAGTGGCCAACATCAGTGCGATAACCAAAGTTGGGCATCTCTAAGAGACAGCCAGCCTTTAGTCTAATTATCTATTAAATAGTTTGATTTTGTATTAAGCGTAACACTTTTAATAAAATTTTAGTATGTGGTTATCAAAGGAAAAAAAATATATATATATATGAATCTCATAAATATGATTTAAGTGAAGAATCACCTAATCCTTCAAATACTTCTGAATTAACACTACCAAACAAAATCTGCGATATTATTAATGATGATAATTGGTGGCGACAAGTTAGAAATATAAAATCTTTATTATTACTATATTGTACCTGTCTTAATTTGTTATAACATGACAAAGCATGACTTTTTGAAGTATTATATTCTTTTGGCTATTTAGCCAAAATGATTAAAGAATATCATAATACTAATCTTGGTTAGCAGCTTTTAAATTGTTTAGAAAAACGATGGAACACCTGGAAACAACTATTATTAATATTATTATTTGTTCTTTATCCAAAGTATTGAATGGAAAAGTTTAATTCTAATTTAATAACTTTAACTTGAGTTGATATAGGCGAATATATTCAGTACTATTACCTTGCTTTGTTTTACCAGCATCCAAATTCAATTTTATGTAAACTTGAACTTTTTCGCCAAAATCAATTACTATTTAATACTGCAATCTCGAGACAATTTGGTAATGATGTTATTGAGTATTGGAGCTATTGTGCATCACATGCTAAAGAACTAGGCCAAGTTGTATTGCAAATCCATGGAATTTGTGTAAATATAGCCTGTTGAATGCCTTTAGTCATCAATAGGATTTATCCATTCTAATCGGTGTAATAAACTTCTGGTAAAAACCTTTATTGTACACTTCTTATGTGAGTACCTAGCCATTTTCATGCATGTTATTGGGTCAATTCTAATACATGATACACTAACTTTGTTCACCTCCTATCGGAGGTGAACAAAATTTGTGTATCACATTTAAAAATGACCCAATAAGATGCAGAAAATGGCTAGGTGCTTACGTCAGAAATATACAATAATGTAGTTATTGATCATGTTATTAATGATAATCACTGATTTCTTCACAGCAGACACCATGTTATGACGTGCTCTTCGGTCATGTCATAAGCACATTGTCCTAGTGAATAATCAGTTATCATCAATAACATGATCAATAACAAGTACTTATAGATTTATACATTTAAATTAGACAAAAATAGTTAATATTAGACAAAAATTTTTTGTCTAATTTTTTTACTACTATGTTTAAATTTATTAATTATTAATTATATATATAATTAAATTACAGGTTCATAAAGTATTGGCAATTAGTCAATTACATGGAATACTTACTCAAAATCACCGAATTAAAGAACTGAATAAACTTAAAAAACTTTATAAATCAACCTCTACAACTTTTTTATTAGACTATTCTGAAGATATATCAGATAACATGTTAGATGACTTTTCAACTGATGAAAATAGCTATATAGAAATTGAAGATTTCAATGAAGACAAAGATAAAGAAAATATTATGGCATTATGGCTAACATCAAATGAAGCTGATTCTAAAAATTTATTAGATCTAGAAACAGCTAATATAGATGAATTACTAGCAAGTCAAGAGCATCCAGTAAAAAATTGCAAAGCCAAGTAGTTATTAAATAATTTGTTTTTAGCCAATTTAGAAGCCCCTTTATTTGCAACTAACATTTAGTGATAAATGACTTTAAATCAAAAATATATAAATAATATTTTATATTTAGTTTTATTTTGTTTAATAAAAATATACAATATTGATATATACATTTAAAGTTATTTTCAAATTTCTATCAATTAGAAATTGGCGTAAGTAGTTAAATTTAAAAATAAAGTATATTGTATTTTAACTAGTATAATTAGCTGGAGCTAAGAGGAGCGAGGCGAATGCTATTCAAGCCTTACTCTATTGAATTTTAGGAGTGTCTGGCTCCGCTTAGGGCTGTTAATCGATCCGGTCCGAACCAACGATCCTTCGGTCCGTCCTGGGATTGGGGCGGTCCGGTCCTTTTTAGGATGGACCGAAAGGATCGTTGGTCCTAATAGTAAATATCAAATAAACCTTATATTATCTTGATAATATACATTTTAAAACAACAATAAAATGCTGTTTTTAGTTAAAATCTTAAAAAAAAGTCATTATTGTCAGTTGATTTATAATTTGCCTATAGGCGTTATTTTGGAGCAAGAGTTTGAAACAAGCTAATAATTCATTTAGCTGAGGGATTTTAATGATAAAAAATTATGATTTGTATTCGGCTAAATTAACTATTAGTACTATTAGTTTATCTCAAACTTGTATCCTAAATAACGCCTATATGCAAATGCAGTATATTGATCAAAATCTGTATTAAGTGTTATCTACTCAGTCTGCACCAGGAATGTAGTCATGTTTGTATAACAGAGTGTACCAGAAACGTAGTCATGCTTGTATAATGGAGTGTATGATTAACTACCATCTAGAATGGTGTAAACAAACTCCTTCATTTGATTGGGCATTAAAAAATCTAAGATTTCACATGTTACTGTCCTTGTTGGTATAAATATTACTACTTAAGCAGAGTACCATGAAACGATTAACAGGAACAGATCCAATTTTGTACAATCAATGAATATTATTCCATATGCAGCAATGAGAAAAAGATCTCCTACACCAACAATCGCTAACTCGGCTATTAACAGGCCCATTTCCCTTCAAGCTCATCGAAGTTATCAGATTCTTGTTTATTACTACTACTTGAACTATCAAGTTTATCAGACGAAGCTTCATCATTGTTTGAATTTGCTTTAGAACGAGTTACAATAGGATCACGATTCATAGTTAAAGTAAAAGATATATAGATAATAAATAATGAATTTTCTTTTTAATCTTATTTATATAGAAATTTACAAATTTTACTTTTGATAATAACAAGTAATTTATTGATATCAAATTTACAATTTTGCCAAATAAATTAATAGCTAAATTGTATAAATTAATTAATAATTTATTATCGCTCTTTAAATTACTTAACAAAAAAAAAACTTTACATTACTAATTAAATACATATAGATTTTTTTATAATAACAGGTTTTTAGCTAAAAATATATAAATATAGTTTGCTATAGCTTTGCCACAAGACTACTTTATATGTAAGTAATACTGGATAAAAACTTGTAAGAGACATTTAATAAATTTATATTTAATATAATTATTTTTAGATGCTTATTTGATTAAACCTGTAAGATTAAAATAGTTATATACAAAGCTTTAATGATTTCATTTGGCATTAACTATAATATCTAAATTTATACTTGTACTGATCTCTTTATTATATTATATTCCTGTTTGTGGCATTTATCTTATATAATAAAATTAAAAATTTCATTATGCTGAATGACATAATCTGAATATTGCTCAA